TAAGTGCCAACTGTTGACAACCATTAACAGGTTCTTCAACTGTCTAGCACTAGAATGCCTAGCATTGGATTCTCTGATTGACCATGGAGCTTTGTGGAATATTACATGTGTTGGTTGATCACATAACTGATCATAGGCCTACTGATTCCCTCTCTTCTTCACTCTCAGGACTGCTATCAACACCAAATCTGATTCAGCTACCTCAGCAAAACAATGGGAGCCTCCTGTCCGCTCCCACCAGGCTGGGGCTCCAAGCACAGGTAGGCCCACTGAGGAAACACCCAGGCTTTGAGAGAGGCTACAGTCTCTGACTCTTTCCAACAAACATCTCGTCTCATCATTCGGTCATATCCAGTAAACGCCTCTCTTCTGCTACATAATTCTCTCTCTCTTTCGCTCTCCCCCTCTCATTCTCTTTCTCCTCCTCCCCCTCTCCCCCTGTAGAGAGACAAGGCAATGGAGGGCAGTGGGGTCATGACCTCTGTGTCCTCTGTGACCTCTCACCCCGAGGAGCCCAGTGACCTGGAGGAACTGGAGGTGTTCGCCCGCACCTTCAAACAGAGACGCATCAAACTGGGCTTTACACAGGTACGCCTTTCTGTGTGTGTGTGTGTGTGTGTTCGTGTGTGCGTGTGTGTGCTAACTCTCTGTTTTACTCCCTCCCTCTCTCTCTCAGGGTGACGTGGGTATGGCCATGGGGAAGCTATATGGGAATGATTTCAGCCAGACTACCATCTCTCGCTTCGAGGCCCTCAACCTGAGCTTTAAGAACATGTGCAAACTCAAACCACTACTGGAGAAGTGGCTCAATGATGCAGGTGAGAGGGGAGGGTGGGGGATGAGAGAGAGGAGAGGGAGGGAGGGGAGTGGAGGGGCGGGGAGAGAGGAGAGGGAGAGGGAGGATGGGAGGGGAGGGGAGGGGAGGGAATTGGTGAAGGAGAAAGGTGTATGACACTTTGAATCAATCAATAAATCAGTTGATTAATTAACCAATCCCCAAATTGCACTAATCTGTAGAATGAATGTAGCCTTGAGTTAATTAAATTATATCTGTAGAATGAGGATACCAGTTTGTGTGATTTTAAATCAACCCACTAATCAATCTCTCTGTTTGACAGAGACCATGTCCACAGACAGTACTATGCCCAGCCCCAGCTCTCTGTCCTCTTCCTCTATGGGCTTTGAGGGCCTGCCGGGCCGACGCAGGAAGAAGAGAACCAGCATCGAGACTAACGTCCGCGTGGCCCTGGAGAGAGCCTTCATCACGGTGAGAGACATGACATATCACTGACATAAGGCCTTCATAACACTATCATACAGGAGTCATAAATCTTAAGTTGACATAACATCTACATGGCTCGTTCCGTAGTTTTTCCCCTCTGAAGAACACTATATCACTGTGATGTCAGTGAGGTGATATAAGGCTAAGTGTGTATTAGTACTAATGTGTCCATCTCTGTCTCTCCCGTGTGTCAGCAGAACCAGAAGCCTACCTCAGAGGAGATCCTGTGTATCGCGGACCAGCTCAGCATGGAGAAGGAGGTGATCCGCGTGTGGTTCTGCAACCGCCGCCAGAAAGAGAAGCGTATCAACCCCAACAGTGCCACCCCTCCCCTGCCTGGCCAGCCACCCCAAGCCCCACCATCACACAAACCCCCCTGCTACAGCCCACACATGGTATGGCCTGACCTGCACCCAGCCTCTCCCTTCTTACACCCCCCATATAGCCTTACATGGTATGGCCTGAGCCGCATGATCCCTCTCTCCTAACCTTACCCATCACAATTCTCCCCCCTATATGAATGTTGACTCCCGCATGTCAAATAAAATAAAATAAACTGTTATTTGCCACATGCGCCGAATACAACAGGTGTAGACCTTACAGTGAAATGCTTACTTACAAGCCCTTAACCAACAATGCAGTTTTAAGAAAAATAAGTGTTAAGTAAAAAATTAATAAATAAAATAATTAAGGAGCAGCAGTAAAATAAAATAACAGTAGGGAGGCTATATACAGGGGGTACCGGTACAGAGTCAATGTGCGGGGGCACAGGTTAGTCGAGGTAATTGAGGTAAAATGTACATGTGGGTAGAGTTAAAGTGACTATGCAGCTCAGTTGGTAGAGCATGGCGCTTGCAACGCCAGGGTTGTGGGTTCGATTCCCACGGGGGACCAGTATGAAAAAATGTATGCACTCACTAACTGTAAGTCGCTCTGGATAAGAGCGTCTGCTAAATGACTAAATTGTAAAATGTAAAAAATTATAAACAGAGAGTAGCAGCAGCGTAAAAGGGGGGAAGGCAATGCAAATAGTCTGGGTAGCCATGATTAGCTGTTCAGGAGTCTTATGGTTTGGGGGTAGAAGCTGTTAAGAAGCCTTTTGGACCTAGACTTGGCGCTCCGGTACCGCTTGCCGTGCGGTAGCAGAGAGAACAGTCTATGACTAGGGTGGCTGGAGTCTTTGACAATTTTGAGGGCCTTCCTCTGACACCGCAAGGTATAGAGGTCCTGGATGGCAGGAAGCTTGGCCCCAGTGATGTACTGGGCTGTACGCACTATCCTCTGTAGTGCCTTGCGGTCGGAGGCCGAGCAGTTGCCATACCAGGCGGTGATGCAACCAGCCAGGATGCTCTCGATGGTGCAGCTGTATAACCTTTTGAGGATCTGAGGACCCATGCCAAATCTTTCCAGTCTCCTGAGGGGGAATAGGCTTTGTCGTGCACTCTTCACGACTGTCTTGGTGTGTTTGGACCATGATAGTTTGTTGGTGATGTGGACACCAAGGAACTTGAAGCTCCCAACCTGTTCCACTACAGCCCCGTCGATGAGAATGGGGGCGTGCTCAGTCCTTTTTTTTTTTCCTGTAGTCCACGTTGAGGGAGAGGTTGTTATCTTGGCACCACACGGCCAGGTCTCTGACCTCCTCCCTATAGGCGGTCTCATTGTGATCAGGCCTACCACTGTTGTGTCGTCATCAAACTTAATGATGGTGTTGGAGTCATGCCTGGCCATGCAGTCATGGGTGAACTGGGAGTACAGGAGGGGACTGAGCACGCACCCCTGAAGGGCCCCCTTGTTGAGGATCAGCGTGGCAGATGTGTTGTTACCTACCCTGTCATGGTGGATGTTCTTCTGCACCCCCTGTTCTAGTGTGCAGATGGTACTACCCAACCTGCATTGCTATTACACATTAATAATCCCATTGATCCCGTTTTCTATTAGATACAGCTATGTATAGACACTCTTTTAAATATACACTCTCCCCCTCTTTTTCTCTTTTTCTTTCTCGCTCCCCCTCTCCCTCTCCTGTTCTCTGTATCAGATGTCCAGTCAGCTGTCCAGTCAGCTGTCCCAGGCAGTGACCAGCCTCAGCACCACAATGACCACCATGTCATCGTTCTCCCCTCTGACCCCCAGTGGTCCCACCCACTCATCTCTCAGCTCCGCCTCCTCTCCAGTGACTCCTCCTCCTCGCAGCACAGCCAGCCCAGCCCCTCACAGCCACAGCACACTGAGTCTCAACACAGGGTGAGGATGCACCTGCATACAAAGTGTACACTTTGGTCACTGTGCTTCACCATTGGTTCAGTACTCGGTTCACCTGCAGTTTGCAGCAAATGTTTATCAAACCCACACACACATGATTGACACACACTGATCCGTGACACTGCTCCTTCTGTGCAGCAGTACTTTCTAACCTGTGTGTGTGACTGTGTGTTTTGTGTCCACAGCTTATGGCGTATGGGTAAAAAGAACGGTGACGTGTCTAACTACATCACCGATTTTGCTGCAAACTTGAGGTGAATACGACAGAGACACACGTACACACTCTCTCTTACAGGAATATGATCGTCCGCACACAAACACAACGTCCACAAGCAAGCGTTTGGATTTGTAGCTCCCAAACAAGATATGAATCAAGATGGTGTGTTTGTATCTAACCTGTGGGTTTCTCCTGCAGTGTGTCTGTGTTCAGGTCTCTGAGTCTCTGTTCTGTTGTGCTGCTAAACCTGCTTCTCTCTCTCTGTTTCTCCTCTGTATGTAAATGGTTTCCTCCTGTGTGTGTGTGTGTGTGTGTGTGTGTGTGTGTGTGTGTGTGTGTGTGTGTGTGTGTGTGTGTGTGTGTGTGTGTGTGTGCGCGTGTAACACAGGAACACTGTGATGGGAGTAAACACAGGGAACCAGGCTCTGAACCAAGCTCTCCTCAGCAACAACCCTCTGGCTACTATACAAGGTGTGTTAGAGGGAGATAGAGGTGTAGAGGGAAGGAGGGAAAAGAGAGGAAGAGGGAAATAAAGGAGGAAGTGAGAGAGACAGGGGGAGAGAAAGAGGGAACAGGAGGGACAGTAATTTGAGGTACAAAGTGATAGAAAAGGTAAAGAATACTAGACAGAACGAATGACAGAGATGATTAGAGAGGGAGAGTTAGAGTAGAGGAGATGAATCATAGTGATAGATCATCTGATGGAGGGAACTGGTGAGCAGGTCTATGACAGGGATGTCCCATCACTCCACCATGTTCATCCCCATCCCCATCTAGAACTGTGTATGTGTGTGTGTGTGTGTGTGTGTGCGTGCGTGTGTGTGTGTCTTTAGTCTGTCTTTCATGATTTTTCTCTCATTCATCCACTTCTTCATTTCATCTCTATAGTAAATGTAGTTATTTCACAGTAGGTATAATGACGTTAACTCTCATCTCTCTCCCTCTCTTCTCAGCCCTAGCAGCCAGTGGTGGCCAGCTGCCCCTTTCCAGTCTTGAGGGGGGCAGTAAGGTGTTGCTGGGGGGTGCAGGGGGGCAGGGAGGGGGTCTCCAGTCCTCCTTCTTCCTCAACCACCCCGCTTTCCTCCACATGGGCCAGAATCCTGGTGCTGGATTGGTCAGTGCTGCCTTAGCCAAAGCCTCCCAGCCCTCCCCCTTCCCCTTCACCAGCAGCGTAAGCCCCACCCCCTGCTCCCCCTCTCCTTGCTCCAGCCCCGCCTCTTCCTGCAACTCCGATGAATTGGCGCACAGCCCATCCTCGCTGGGAGGGGCTAAGATTGAGTGACACAGCCAAGCACCAATCAGAGAGGAAGAGGAGAAAGGAGGAAACGACAACCTCGCCTTTCAACCAAAGCTATCTCTTTCTCTCTCTCGCCCTACTTCTGTTTTTTCACCATCACGCTCTCTCTCTCTCCCAGTCTTTCGATGCCAAAAATACACCGAATGAAAGAGAGGAGAGGGGGAGGGACAGAAGTGAAAGGGGGAGAAGGGGGGAAAGAGGAAGATTGAAACCAAAAATCTTTATCTATCCAAGGTGATGGAGGAGGCATCGTGGGACTGTTTTGTCAATAATGAGCGATATCGCACCTCTCCTTTCTTTCTCTCTTTCTTTCCCTGGAAAATAAACCAATGACAAATAACAGGAATAGAGATCGAATCGCGTGAACCAAAAATGACAAAAATAAACATTACTGTGTGTTTTTCGGGAATGGTGGCAAGGACAAAAAAAAAAGAAGTGAATGACTTTTGTTGAAAAGCTGCGGGTCTGAAAGAGGAAGAGATGGGAGGATGATTTTAAACCAAAAATGTACCTGAGTAGGAGAAGAGGAACACACGATGACAAAAAACGACAACCATACCAAAATCCCAGAAACCAAAAATACGGAAGGAAAAGCTTTATCCAAACGACTTGTACATACTGATCCTATCCAGGACTAGGACTTTGATACTGCTACACACACACACACACACACACACACACACACACACACACACACACACACACACCCATAATATCCACAGCCGATCACATTCATCCATCTGATCAGTCATCCACCCATCATGTCTGTCACTCACTTTCACTGCAATTATGTTGTTTATATCTGATATTTGTTATTGTTATAAATGGTTGATACTGAATGAGCCAAGCTTACAGGTGTCTCTGTTTGTGTTTTCCTACCTCTGCTTCTCTGAGTATCCTATCCTATCTCCCCCTTGCTTTCCAATAGTTTACTGATAGCGTTGGAGTCTGTCATCATCATCATTATCTTGTGCCATTCACTTCATGTTGTCAGAGATAATAATAAGAGACAAGAGGGAACAAGAGATCAGGCTTAGTGTACCAGTTTTCCAGCCTTGATAAAAACCTCTCTCTCTCCATAAATACTCGCAACAAATGACTCACTTGATGAAATAATATTAGACTTATATTAGACTCAATGTAGTCCTTGTGAATGGCCAGTCCACCATGGTGACAGTATGAAATTGAGCATGATTGGAGATTTAAACTAGTAACAATTTGAGGCGAGAAAGAGGTAAATGAATAGATGTTAGTTTAGTCATGGACAGGTTTCAGTCTTACCTTGTCAATCAGCCATCTGTCTCGACGCGTAGTAGAGAAACAGAGATCAAAACCTGTTTAATGTTTAACATCCCTCCATCCATCCCATTTCACTGTCATTTTCCACCCAAATCTGCCATTATTACACTTTTGAAACCAAAGCATATGTTACTCTTCAGAGGAGTCTGCCATGACATTAACACTCACATACTGTAGGGGTTGGGGACACACCCTACCCCTCCCACTGAACCCCCCCTAGTTGACCCCTTCCATCTCCTTACGCCCGAGAGGGTCACTTCAAAAGGACAGAACCCTCACCCAACAGAAAAGGGGTGCATACAGGGAGGGGATCAGATGGTGCGATGGGGTCAAACATACAGAAAGAGGGGATGTCAAGTTTTTGTAAGAGGATACCAAAAATACAAACCAAATACCAAACCAAGGAACGTCAGAAACAAACCAAAAAGAAACACAACCAAATATGGATGGGGGGGATGAGGGGAGGAGGACAGGTGTAGGTTTTTACAGACTGGAGCCGACACGTCTGTCTGTTATCCAACTAACTGGGCTTCAGTGGCCCACTCTAAACTGTGTAGCACAGATGAACAGATGGATGGATAGATTGACGGACAGATAAGACAGATTTCCTCCCTCTCCCCTGTCTTTCTTTCACTCCAAACTCAACTCTTCTTCTCTGGTACTGGATGGAGAAATCTCTAATGACCTCATTGAACTGAATCTTCTAAATCCGTTTTTTAAATGTTTCTGTTTGTTGGTTTATTTTGTATTTTATTTATTTGCTGTGTCTCTTGATGCTGTTTATGTACTGTTCTTTAGTGCTTACTCATTTGGGATAATAATGTATTCGCTTACTACAAGAGCTCCTTATTTTTTCGTAGTTGTTCTAGAGATTTTTATCAGGTGGTTGGAAAAATACTGTGAAAATTTAGCTTCCAGATTTTTATTAGATAAAAAAAACACTTGACTGTCTTGTCAGAAAAAAGACACAGAAAAAGTCCAAAACAAGAGTTGAAAAGCAAAATGTACACACCAAACCAAATACCAAACCAAATACCAAACCAAACCAAACCAAAAAGGCAGGAAGGAACTAGAGATGGTCCAACTGCTCTCCCTGCCGTTGCATTGGGGCTCACACATATGATTGTGTCAATTTATCTGAAGTGTGTGTGTGCGTGCGTATGTGCATTGTGTGAGGGTGCGATATTGGGTGTGGTGTGTGTACACGCGTTACAGAAAGAATTCAGTGGAGTTTACAAAGATGTCCTCTCTTGCACGTTTAACCCAGTTATCACAAACACACTCATACTTATATATACACACACACACACACTTTGGCAACAATTTACAGTAGAGTTTAAAATGCATCCAAATAATATTTGGTTTGAGACACAGAAATACAGTTGACAAATGAGAATCATTAATTAACTAATCTATTTTACATGTGGGGGTTCTAAACATGAGGTGAAACCTTTTCTCAACATTAACTCTTAGACAGAATGTATCTGTTAGTGCTTCTATAGATTTTGTAGAAAAAAAAGATCTATGTTCTAATGCTTACTTATCGCTAATGTATTGAAAAACGTACAAAAAAGAAATTGAGAAAAAGATCTTAAAAAACGTTGATGATAATGACTTGATTTTAGACCAAAAATGTTAGCTCTCTCTCAATATATATTTTGTATATTATTTTTATTTGTCGGATCATTTAGGACTTTTGATTGTACTATTTATTCATCTTAGGTTTAATCGATTTACACTTATATTGATTTCTTCTAACTATTTATTTGTTTATTTATTTATCTTTTTACAGGGGATATATTTTGGGGTATATATTTAGAATATACTGTATATTACGGGGCTGTGACCAAAAATCCTGCTGAAGTACCTTCTCACCTCTTCAAACCAAATCAAACCAGATACATGCAACCACAGGTCTCACGGGGCCTAGGAGAATATTTGTTTGGCCACAGACTCCTTCTCTTCTTCCTCACTGAGACTACTCTTAAAGCTCTTAAAGGGGTGGGGGTGAGCTCACTGAGACTACTCTTAAAGCTCTTAAAGGGGTGGGGGTGAGCTCACTGAGACTACTCTTAAAGCTCTTAAAGGGGTGGGGGTGAGCTCACTGAGACTCTTTTAAACGGATGGGGTGAGCTTACAGGGGGCAGCACTGTGTCTACATAGGGCACTTCGGTACGACCACCTAACAGCGTTTTCTCAGACATTGCAGGGCAGGGAAAGGTAATGGGAATAGGAACATCAGCTTCATATTGATGTAAATTTGAGCAAAATCAATGTTTTCAGGTGTTGAATGCTGTCTTTCCTAAATATGGGATTAATTGTCCTAATGATAATGATATTACTAGTGAACCTTATTGTATTCTTTATGAGTAATGACTGTGGTGAGATGAGAGGGGACAGAGCATCTGGGTGTTTCTGGCTTTATATGCTGTCTTTTGATGTTGTGTTTAGTTTAAGTGGGGATAGGGAGTCTCAGTAGGGTTCTCTACAGCCTTACTACAGTCCAGGATTGTTACTGGAGACCCCCCCCCCCCCCCCCCCCAGGGTCGGATCAAACCGGTCATGAGTAAAACTTTTAAAACATTGGATTAATAAATCTCAAAGCTTTAGAAGTGTAGTTTGTCCCCATTGTGATGTATACCATATGCTTTGGACTAATCAGGATAGAGGGATTTATAGCCCGGATGTACACTTAGTCAGTGCCGCCTATAAGATAGTATTGGATAAATAGTATTTTGTATGTTTGAATATAGCCCAACGGTTCTGGAAGAGAGCTCCACTGACATGGATGATCAGACAGGCAGGTTGACTTAAAGATACAGTGCTGTTCCCTCACAACCTCTCCTCTCCTCATGAGAAATACACTGAAAGCTTTAAACAGCTACCAAACCAAAAAACGAGTGAGAAAATGCATTGACTGGGGCAAAGGAACGTGACAGATGGACTTGTTTTCTTTTCTTTCTGGTTTTTTCTTTTCTTGATGTTAGTAAGTTTTGTTTTCCACATCTGCTGTAGGATGTTAAAGAGAGATAGTTCATCATATACCTCATATACTCTGATGATAAACCAAATAGATGAAAGCTTTAAAAAAGGTGGGGTTCATGTGGGGATCGGGGTGTGGGGCGGGGCTGTGTACGTGTGTATGTGAGTGTGACCATGGATGGCCAGAGCGAGGCTTGGGCGCGGCAGAGTTCAAGGTCAATAATGGGGTCAGAGTAAGGGGTCACATTTCCTGTGCCCCATCCAAATCAGGAGACATTTTGGGTAGCAAGTTGCATGCCTGCCCTCTCGCTGTGGTTCCCAGTCCACTCACCCACACACCTTCCTCTCCGTCTGTTCTGAAGAACAACCCCCTGCTCTGTACAGCCCTCTCTCCATCCCCCTCTCCCCTACTGCTCCCTCCCTGCTGAAACCAAACACTCTCCAAGTACAAGTTTTCCATAGGCACAGATCTAGGATCAGCTTACCTTCCTCTAAATCCTAACCTTAACCATTGAGGGCACATAACACTGGCCTTAGGTCAGTATCTATGGAGCAACTTTGTCCTACTCCTTAACACAAAGCTTTATTACAGGGGCTAGCCTCTGGGTACCCAGCATCTTTAGGTGATTGGCTGGATGTTGTGTTGTTTAGGTGATTG